AGGCTTCGTTGTACCAATAATCTGAAACAATGGAGACTTGAGGCTTTGCATTTCAAGATCCATTGTGGAGCATATAGTACAATAAACCTAGTAGATGAGAAAAGATGATCAAAACGTTTCACTTTTGAGGGTAATTTAGACTGGAAACTGAAACACGTTTCAATCTTATAGACTAATGTAGAGCTTTGTATCCTTGTCTCATATGTTTCATTTATGTATGTGTTGCAAAGTAACACTTGATATTAATGGGAGAAAAAGTTCAAGATCAACACATGGATCTTCAATATCTCATAGAAGTCCGTTTTTATGAGTTGAATTTGTATCTATGCAAAGAGTACTTCATGCATTTTGTTTTTCATTTTAGTTTCACTTATAAGTTCAAGCTCTGATCTTACTTTCAGTTTAGTTTTCTCAGATATGGATTTCCTTCAGGTTAACAAACCTGACTGACAGGTAGCCACCCAAATTACTGTCTCTTTAATAATTAAAGTCAGTTTGAATGACGGATGAATACTGGAATGTTTGACAATAGTGCCGTGTGACTGAAGTCTTTATAAGGAACAAGCATCGGACCAAAGAGACACAGAGCGCTTTGTATTTTGTGAAAAGGCACAGACAACGGAGAGGATCAACCATCATGTAAGTCATTTTAAATGTAATACATTAATATGCTTCTGACTTCAATTTTCTACTAACTTACTAAATTTCCTTTTGTTTTATGTGTAGCGAAGTCTTGTTTTTGTATAGATGTCAATTTAATACTATAATATATAGTAATAAAATCAATAATATTAGTCCTCATTTCAAGAATAATTCATCATTCACATTATGCAGATGGCATTTTGGTTTGGTTTGTAATAATAAAAAGTAATGCCCTGAACAGCCAATTAGATCCTTTGAAAATATGTTTAAATTAAAAAATATATATATATTAAACTGGCTTAAAGGAGACCTATCATGCTATATTTGAATAATATATTGTAGGGCCATACCTATATAAGCTATATTTATACGTTTTGTTTTTCAAAATACCAAACAGCTGACCACGCCCCCATGCAAAGGAGGGGGCCGAGTTACGAGCATCATGTTACCATGCTGTTACCATGCCACGGCAACCTCTCATTCCCCTGATTGGTGGAGAGTTGGCCATATAGGCGGAGTTCCTCGTCACTGACGTCAGACTATTTTCAAATCTGTATCAGTCTGTATCAGATTCGTTGCAGCCCAGTTTTTAGAGATTGTGGGTACGGAGGAAAAGAGAGGGTTGTGTTTTCTGACACTTGGTGAGTTCCCTGACACACCGGGGACACATATTCATGTATAAAAAATGAACAAAGGGGCATTTTGCATGATAGGTCCCCTTTAAATAAAAATAGCTTGGAATGTGAACTCTGCCTGAACTCCGCCTTCCACATTAAAATCTGAAGTGACCATCCACCACCCTGTTGTCCGCACTCATATTTTCCACCTTGCCACACAAAGGACACACTACTTCCTGCTTTGGCCCCGAACGTTGGCACTGGATGTTGGCATTCTAGGATACTGCAGTGGGTTTTCCTCAAGCACAATTGGATTCAACAAATAGAAAGATCCTATCAAAGCACACACAAGTACATCGGCAATAAAGACCCTCATGTGCATGTTCGACTACAACAGTAATCAATTTAGTTCACCTTCTGAGATTAAAATAACTTTTTAGAAAATGCTTGTTTTCTCTGCACACAAAAAAGAGAACATTAAAATTGAGAGGAAGAAAGCATAGAGTTCTTGCCAAGTCTGGCAGGCAGGGGAAGCAAGCTAATTATCCCATGGTGCTTGGAAGCTGAAGGGCTCATTAACAATCACAGGACTGCTCTCAGGGTGTATATAGCTATTAGGCAGAGAGACAAGGGTGGGCCAAAAGCACTGATCACTGTGGTCACACTAGCCAAGCCAGATCAACCACTAGCCTACAGCTGTTTGACAAGTAGCATTACCGGACAACGCTCTGCATAATGAATCTGACTCTCGAAAGTTTCGTTTTTAACTACATTTGAAAAAGGTAGTGGGAAATATGCAAAAAACGGAATTACATAAAAATACCAGTAACCATAAGTAATGTACATATTATAATAAGCTTGACAGTGTTTAGAAGAAACCGCTTACCACATTTTTGCATGTAATTAAGTCGAGCTGAACATGTTTCTGTGTCCGTCCTTAGCCTGAAAGTGTATTTTTATAATTGGCATTATGCAGTAATACTAATAATATCTGCACCACAGTGCACTGGGAACTTGTTCAAATCTATTACTTAAAGGTCCCATGTCATGCTTTTCCGGTTATTACCCGTCCCCTTGTGTGTTAAGAAGGTTTTCATGCATGTAAATGGTCTGCAGAGTCACAAACCCTCAAAGCACACCCTGTAGCGAGTAAAACTCTAACACAGAAAAGACCTGTCTCTGCTGCCCCAGAACGCCTCGTTGGAGATATCTCATTTTTCATTGTTTACTTCCTGGGTTCTGTGACATGTGAATACCCAAATCAACAACAAATGACCGGATTGGCCCAAATGGACCAATCCGCGGAGCACCTCACACAGGAGCTCCAACAAGCCGTTTAGGACAGAGTGAATACCTGGTGAATAAACATACTATACAGAGATGCTGTATGAGAAACCAATGTGATTTTGGAAAATTGCACAATGTAAATGTATTCTATACCTCAACAATGGAATTATGATCAGTAGAAATGGCCATGACATGGGACCTTTAAAACTAATTCAGGAAGTGGTGGTCCAGACATGGTTGCTTAAAGAGGCCCTTTCATGCTTTTTGGGGTTTTTCCTTTCCTGTAGTTAGTTATACATTCCAGCATGTAAATGGACTGCAAAAGCAAAATCCCAAAGTTCCCTCCAGAAGAATTTCCCCAAAAAAATCAGAACTTACAAGGTGATACAATACCAAAACATTTACAGACATGAACAGACGATGAGAAAAACACAACAAAAAAACAGCAGTAATAATAATCTACTGCGGTACTCATGTGTGAGCACTTTTTTATACGTCCATAGTTATAAGACTGAACCATTTCTCTTTCATGTACGCTGCAATTAGTGACCATTTCCTAACAGACTCATCAACAGGTCCTCTTAGCGGTTACGATGGTCTCTTTCATGGGAGAATGGACATAGTTTTGTCAAACCATAATAGGATTTCAGGCGGACCTTCATCTGACCATTTATGGATCATTGTGAGACATGCAGCATACAAAGCAATTCCAAGAATGTGCCTATGTCTACATTCATACTTTGAATCTAGAATCAAGGCATCTTTTATTTGTCACACTATGAAATCTAGTTTCTGCATTTAAGTCATCTATGTTGTGCCTTGCTCAAGGCAGTGACCTGAACTGCCAACCCTCCGTTAACAAGCCAAGTCCCTACTGCCACCCAACCGAGCTTCTGCCGTCCCTAGTTAGCCATGAATAAATGCAGGCACGCCCTAAACATCTGTTTGCAAACTGTAGGACTGTATTTTCCCGTGTTCAGTGAACGCAACAGAGGCAACACACCAGACCAATCAGAGAGTTGCATGGAAATACACGTGTGCTTGTGTCATTCAAGCTCGGCTCTGTGTGTGTGTGGCGATAGCGCATTCAGTGTGATAGAGAGGGAGAGAGGGAGTGAGGGAGAGAGGGAGAGAGAGGGACCGGTGCTAGCGGGGACCTTGATGTTAGCATCTGGTTAGCTAGCTGCACTAACGGACATAAGGAGCTGTTTCCACAACAAGCTGGAGGAGAGTCCTCTCCTGTCAGACTGAGGGGCTCAGGTGAGCTAAAGGACTCTTGAGTGTTTAGAACAGTTTTGTCACAAATTATTCAAAAGATTATTTCCGCGGCACAACTTAAATGACAAAACTGTTCTAAACACTCAAGAGTCCTTTAGCTCACCTGAGCCCCTCAGTCTGACANTAGGAACCAAGACAACGAGTGACTCAAACTAAGAGAGATTCATGGTCTATATTCCTGAACTCAGTAGAACGGTTTAATCACGAAGAAGACAAAGTAAGTTAGGTTGCCAATATAAGGCTTAGTCATCTTGCCAAATAGTGAGCCAACACTTATCTGCACTGCTAAGTCTTATATTGGCTACTTAGCTTACTTCGTCTTCTTGGTATCTGTTGTTCACTGAGTTGATTCCCCCCCTTCCATCTTGATGTTTCTTGGCATCTCTTTATGACCATTTATTTATGAGTTACTAACATTTCCAACTGCCAAAAGGGAGCCTTGTTGTAAAGTGTGAAACACATTCTCATTTATTAACGAGCTACTACCGTTTCTAATAAGGCTTAGCAGTACAGATAAATATGGGCTCACTATTTGGCAAGCAACCGGTCACAGTCACCCTGTTTATCCCATGTCTTATAAAAGCTTATTAATGATTTATAAAGTGTTCACAACCGAATTATAAAAATGAATTACAAACTATTCGTAAAGCTTTTATAAGGGTAGTCTTATTGTAAAGTGGTACCGAAACATTTTCGAACAAATCTAAGTTGATAAGAAAAAAGCCCAATAACTTATTTACATAACAAACTTGACGTATACACTTTCTCTTTCCCCTTATTATAATCAATCTGAAACTTCTGTTTTAAGGAATGAGCTAAACACTTTTTGGTAATGCAGTAAATGGAGAGCATAAGTTTGATTGATTTTGCTAACTTATAGCTGAACTTATGAGGCAGTATCACCTCTAGTGAGGGGCCCAACCCTTCGTATATGTTTCTGTATGTGGCCCTCGGTGAAAAACGCCCCTGATATAAAATATTACATTTTTGGAATTTTAGATATTCATAGATGAGCTGTTTTTTTTTTCTTCTTCTATTTGTATTTTATTTTAAAACAGAGCAACTTTCACATAACTAATTTGAATGTTTGAATGTCTTTAATTATTATAATTAAAATATTTTATTTGTATACTGTACATACAAACATTTCCCAAACTGGGATCAATAAAGTACTTCTTATCGTATATATCTACCTGGAGACGCTCGCCGCCTCCTGCTGTGATGATCGTTTAACTCAGGGGCCGCAGGGTGAGGCTGACCTGTAGAGAGAGGAGGGGGCATATCGGGTTAGAAGAGCAATATTTATATAAAGGATTACACTTTTGGCATTTTGGATATTCATAGATGAGCCATTTTATTGAATTTTTTCGATTTGTATTTCATTTTAAAACAGAGCAACTGTCACAAAACTAATTAGAATGTTTGAATGTCTTCTCGTTTATTTGGACACCCAAAAATGGTTATATTTAAAATATATGTTTTATATACTTGTATACAACATTTTCCCAAATTGGGATCAATAAAGTACATCTTATCTTATATATATTTTTCATTTGTATCATTTGACTATGCTACTGAAAAGCTTATTAAATGACCTCATGTGCTTCTGGTCCCCCAGTGTCACACACCCTCCTTCTTACCCAGGAACGACTGGTTTGACGCTCCCGTCCTCCAGTCGTCGGAGAAGAGGACGAGGTAGGCGTTGGTGTCCATCAGCTCTCCGCTTCTCTTGGATGACGGAGACCTCGCTGACTCCATCCAGCTCCCAGAGGGCAGCGTGGTCACCACCAGGATGCCGTTATTCTCCTGGCTGTTTCGGATCCACTTTGACACCTGACATTCAAACACAATCGACGGGTTAACACAAAAATACTTCATAATACATTTGGATATCTCTTTGTATAACTTTCTAGATAGATAAATAAATAAATACATTTAAAGAATAACTACTCTGGCTCGAATTATGGGGGAAATGACCTTTCCCAGTGATATGTATTATATAATTACGTACACCACAAGGGAATAGGGGTAACAATAAAAAATGGTAGATATCATCAAAACTTCCCAAGTTGATTACTTACATTAAAATATTTTTTATATATTACAAGTTTTCTGTATTTTAGATGCAAATGAGAATCTTTTGGTGAATTAAGGAGAAATGTGCAGTCAAATATACAAAATGATACTTAAAAAAAACTTAAATGTTTCTATTGGATGCTTTATTTACACTTGTGTGAAAGAAGACATGATAAGTGCATGGTCTCGTCTTGAACAAGAAAGGTTTATTTTTACCGTTTGAGTGAAATTGAAGACTTCCCATCCCTGCGTGTGCAGAGGCACCAGTCTGGAGGTGATGAGGTTTCCTCTCCATGGCTTCACTCGGCTGTCCAGAACCTCGTACAGATCCACCTGAGAGTCACAACATGGAGCTGTTAGTTCACTAAACTGTCACCTTTAAAAGCTATTATTTATCAGAAATTACACAAGTCACTGTATCTACAAATACCTGCAGACTATGAAGCAAGATGATGCTTCCTTTGTGGTTATAGTGGTTACCTACCAACATACTTTTCAGAATACTAAATATATATCAGCAGGTCACCCTTGAAAAAGAGATCAATGATCTCAATGGGATTCACCTGCATAAATAAAGGTTTGAAATTAAATGAAATGATAATATGTCACATGACTCTCTGGTGATGTTTCCTTACTTCAAAATGAAATATTTACATTAAAACACATAACATAATGTCACCAAAACAACATTTACCTTGTAGAAATGAGGCCCAAATGACTTTCCGAGGTAAAACTTCTGTTTCTTTCGGAACCAACGAAACTCTGCTTTGATCATTCTCTCCTCTCTGCCCACAGAGGACAGATTGAAGAAGTGAAACCTCTCTACAGTATTTCAATGTTTTACTCAAGCTGTGTTTGATATCTTTTCGCCTGCAGGTAATTCTGGAGAGAGGTTTCACTTCTTCAATCTGTCCTCTGTGGGCAGAGAGGAGAGAATGATCAAAGCAGAGTT